GTGTGTGTGTGTGTTCGTGTGTGTTCATTTGTGTGTGTGTGTGTTCGTGTGTGTTCATTTGTGTGTGGAAGTGTGTCTATTTGTCTGTTTGCATGCTGTGTGCGCAGGTGTGTGTGTGTATTTGTGTGTGTGTGTGTGTGCCTGTTTCGTAGGCGGCAAAACCGGTTGTTTTGTGCCCGCGTACTTGCACGTGTAGTGCGCGCGTACGTGCACTTGTTGCGCTGTTCCGCACCTGACATCTCCTCCACTCTATTGATGTTTCCTTGTGATGCGTGCTGTCCGCTGTCACAGTCCCAACGCATGCAGCACACCACGACAACATGATATTTCCCGACTCACACAGCCACACACACACCCACACACACACGCGCGCGCGCAGGTAAACGACGTGGTGCTTGGGGTGGCTCCGACGCCAAAGGCAAAATGGGTGGCTGCACGGCAGATTGCAAAGTCACCGCAGCAGATGCTGGTGCAGCTCTTCCGCCACAAATCGCACCTGTTTGGGCCCTGGGACCAGCGCCCAAAGGAACGCAAGCACGCCGCACTCGCAGACGACCAGCTTGCAGGTGCAGTCATGTCTGGACGACAAGTGGGGCAAAACAGCAGCATGGATGCGCAGAACACAGCAGACTGGTCCAACATGACGGAGCTTGATGACTTGTCGCAGCTGGCGGGCATTGTTGATGCGGCATTGGATGGGTCGCATGCAGACGGCGGTGGCGATGGCGATAGCCGCGGAGACACACAAGAGCGCTGCCATGATGCCGCGATTGTTGGCATGCGCAACAACACGCAGGCAGAAAAACCACAACAACAACAACAACAACAACGCAGTGCCAGCGGGCGCGTGTCTGTGTTTGGGTACTTCAGCAACGCACGAGAGCACAGCGTGAACACAGATCCAATCACGGCAGCGACACTGCAGCAGCAACAACGGCGATCTGTGTGTTTCGACGCGGCAGATGAGGCCACGCTGGGGCACCGCGCTCGTGACAGCGGCCACGACCAGGAGCAGCAGCAGCGGCAGCACGCCAGTGCAGGACCTGCACGAAGAGCGACAGAGGGACCAGTTGCTGCCTCTCACCACGAGCAGGATGCTTGCCCCATTGTCACCCTGCCACACCCTTCACGCAGATACTCCAGGTCAACACCGTCTGTCCAACCAGGCACCTCCCGCTCCCGCCACTCCCATCAACAAGGGATTGCTGGTCATCGGCAGGAACAGCAAACGGCCGGGGCGCATGCTGCTGCTGATGATGTTGATGATGCGTGGATCCCGCAGCCTCCAGCCTCGCTCTCTGTCAGTGATTGCATGACAGCGGCCTCTTCCAACGGCGAAAATGACGACACTGTCATTGCTCACGACGGCTCGCAGGCACCTGCGGATCAAACGCTCGTGCCGCAACACCAGCAAGAGCAGCGGCCGTTTTCTGCGGTGAGCAATGGTGGCGATGTCGCGCCTGTCAATATGGGCGAAGGTGGTGCGCCAGCAGAGCGGAAGCAGCTGCGTGAGCGCAGCAACACGTACGCGGGACAGCAGCTCCTGCGACAACATGCATCCACCGCTACTGCACGCTGTCCTGCCCCACAACAACAACGCCAACACCAACAGCAGCATGAGCCCGTGAGGAGACGTGCACGGTCACACGCGTCGGCCTTGAAGCCGCCAAAGCAGCTGAGTGGCCCACACGAGGCGCGTTTGTCGCGGTTTGCGTCGGTGGTGGAAGTGTTTGACTACGTACTGGTCTCGCTCTGTCACCCTCGTGTGTCCATGCTGCAAGCGGCAGAGCAAAGCCCGCGCGGCAGCAAGACACCAGCAACGGCAACAGCAACGGCAGCAACGGCAGACAACACGGCACGTGTGACGTTAGCAGCAACAGCAGCGATGACAGACGATGGGCACCTTCGCCGCCATCGTCGTCGTCGTCGTCGTCAGAACGGGAGAGGAGAAGGAGCAGAGAAGGATGTCACTGGCCAGGGTTGCATTGCAACAGACACCGACCCAAGTCGGCAGCCAGTGTGCCGGCCACGCCATGATCCGTCCATTCTCGTCTCGCACGGCACGCTACTTGACGAGACGCTGCAGCCTGTTGTGCCTGTCGTGTGCTACTTTGGCACTGACGGCCGGCGCACGGACCTTGGCGTGGACATTGTTGGGCGCGCAGGGGCACATGGCGGCCTGTTTGTTCTGCAGCGTGGCGAGAACCAACCCAGGCCGAGCCTCTCTCTTCTGCGCGAGGGCGATCGCATCGTCGCAGTGCGTTACCGCCGGGATGTCTTGTGTTTGTATCTTGTGTCGTGTTTCGTCTGACGCATTGTTGTGTTGTGTGCAGAGAGTGTGTGTGGGTGTTTGTAGCTTGTGTCGTGCACGTTGTGGTGTATGTACATGTGTGTGTGTGTTTGTGTGTGTATGTGTGTATGTGTGTGTGTGTGTGTGTACATGTGTGTGTGTGTGATATGACCAATCCCTCCCCATCACTCTCTCTCACACTCTCTCACACACACTCACTCATCTACACACATTATTTTGGGTTGCTGCTGGTTCATCTCACACTTTCGCTGCCTTGGTGGACATGTGTCGTTGCTGCACGTGTTTCAGGTGAACAACGTGTCACTGCTGCGCATGAAGAATCGCAAAGCGTACAAGGTGTTGCTCAAGGCAATGCATGATCAACAGCCGCTTTACATCACCGTGTGGCGGCAAGCTCCTTCCATCGGGTGAGCACTTCGCTGATTTGCATGTGCTTCATGCCCCCCCCCCCTTCTTCACGTACACACTACAGTCGCGTGCTGACGGTACTCGCATGGCCATTGTAGGTTCGAGGAATCCGTGCATGACCTTCTCACCCCAGCTGGCTTTGTATAACTTCTGGCACGCCATCATCACGCATCCCTCCGCCAATGAACTGCTCGAGCGCACGTGTTGGTCATTGTTGCGCTCCCTCCCATCTGCTCGCGTGCGCGTGCATCGCAGCGTCTGCAACAGTGGTTGCTTCACGCGCTGCAACAATGGCTTGTTTGTTGGTTGTTGTGATGGTTGTGTGAGTTAGCTGCTGTGTCGTGTTGTTGTTCGTCTCGAGCAGAAGGTTTGTTTCTGCGTCGTCTGCAAGTTGCGCGCAGCCTTGTTTGTGCTTGTTTGGCGCTTGGGACGTGCCCGCATGTGGTTTGTGCCCATCAGCGCACCTCTTTGTTGCTTGTTCATGTTCTTGTCACTAGTTTGTGAGAGTCAGAAAGCCGACACGGGAGGCGCGAGACGTTGTTGTTCATTCTTGTTCACGTGCATTGTGACATGCGCGATGCACGCGAAAGAACGCACGTGTCCATGCCTCCCCTGCTTTGTTTGCTTGCTTGCTTTTTTTTGGTCTTCTTGTTCTTGTTCTTCTTTCCTTCCTGCTCATCGTATCTCCTCGTGTGATTTGTTCTCGTGACGCTCGTTGTTTCTTTCGCTCGTGCCATCCACCCAAAACACGCCACGTTCTCACCTGCACCTTCACCTTTGCCTTCTTTCTCTTTTCCCGCCCATTCGTTCATCATCACCTCCCCCCTCCCCCCTCGAGCGCCATGAATCGTCCTTCACCCATCAATCATCGTTGTCGTTGTTGTTCTCCCTGTTTTGGGGCTGTGCTTGCTTGTGGTTGCGGGGGGTCGCGTGAAGTCGTTCCCTGCTCCGTCCTGCCTGTTCCGTTACAACCGCTACAACACAGCAGTGCACAAGGAAGAAATCTCTGCAACTTGCACGCACGTTCTAGCATGGGCGCGTGTGCACGAGACAGGACAGTGCTGCTGCATTCCTCCCAGGGAGAGACACTTGAGCATACCGCACGCGCGCTCATGCCGCCACCCAACTGGAATGACAACCCAACAGACAAGTGTTGTTGTTGTTGGATGACGTGACGTGTGTTTGGCTCGTGGACACATTCGCCACTTACTTCGCGTCAAAAAGTGGCGTTTCCTGACAAGTCGGGAGAGGATTGAAGGATTTGGGGGCTCCTACTTGGCATTTGGTTGGGATGCGTTGGTCAGCCATCCACGTGCATCGCCACCTTTCGCTTCACATGCCAGTGACAACGCCCCAAAACACATGCAGCGCTACCCAAGCAAAAAGTCACACAACAATGCACACCAGCAGCCGCATTCCCCAAACCTGCCGCACCGTCTTGTTGCTCTCTGCTGAGGTCGTCCGTGTTCCTCTCGCCCTGACCACACATGCAGGGCAACGTCCATCTGCGCAACGACATCGACGAGCAGCCACGCAGCAGCAGCAGCACATTGGTTGACGTCGTCAATTTGACCAACAACCGTCGTCACCACTTCCATTCATCCATCGACATACACAACCAGCATTACACGCAGCACCAGCAGCAACCACGAAACTCTCCAAGCACAGCACACCACGAGAAGAAAGTCAGACAACAGCACGCAGCCAAACCACAGCAGGCAGGCGTACAACAGCACACAGCCAAACCACAGATACTACATACAGCAGGCAGGCAGACATACAACAGCAAACACCACATTCAAGCCATCCTCCGCTGATTACAAGCCAACCTCAGAGTCAGAACCTCAGACAGACAAACACACACTTGCTTGGGGAGGACCTTCCCCTCCTTCCAGCAGCAAGCAGGTCGCGCTCATCACACCACAGACAGAGCAGCCGACACCACACATCAAGAACACAGAAACAGGAGGCATCATGATGCGGACCACACAGCAACAGGTGTTCATCACCATCGCTGCGATGATGCTGGCATCAACAGCAGCCCCGACAACCGCAAGTTCACAGCCAGAACTGTGCTACCAGGTGGCATGGGGAGTTGGAAGCACGTACCGCAGGCAGGTGATCCGACCCGTGACAGCATTTCCAGCTGAGCATGCCCTGGTGCAAGAACAGTATTGTGGCGGCAAGGACGCAGGTACGCGAGCACCTATTGCTGTGCTTGTAACTGTGTGTTGTATGTGTTGTGTGTGAGTGTGTTTGTAGCTTTGTGTTGCGCGCGTGTGTGTGCGTATGTGTGTGTATGTGTGTTGCAGTGTTGCGGCGCGCTCTCTCTCTCTCTTGCACGCACACTCTCTCGCACACACACACACACACTCTCTCTCTCTCTCGCTTTCTGTGCCAACTTTAAGTACTTGTTGCACGTGCAGAAGTGCCTGCTTCCTCACAGCGCTTTCGTTACGATGCGTACACTTACACAACGCCACAACACATCTTCAGGTGATCCCATCCCTCACGAGGCCCTTTGGAGCAGACGCGGTCGGCACGACCCTAGCCGCTGCCAGCACGTCTCTGGCGCTGAAGCGTTCTACGTAAGCGGCCCTGCCTCGCTTGAATCTTGCCTGCAGGCAACGACGTGCCAGATGCACACACCACACATTGTCTCGTGCCACAACTTTGCCATTGCATGCCCTGGCAGTGCCTTATTCCCTTCAACACCTGTCAAACCCCATCTCACCCTTCATGCGCCACTACTCCCATCCTTGTGGGCCGTGCATAGGCTTACAACGCCCCTTACGGGTCCTCCAGTAACACTGGGTTCGAGCAAACGGTGAGTCACTCGTCCAAAATACAACGCCATGTCCTGCGCACATTGCACTGACTTGTCTCGCACCGCCTCACGTTGCCTGCATACAAACCACTGCCACACAATGCTCTCGTACAGGACACGGACCTTCTCTACTTTGTCGTGGACGATGCTGGCGAGGTCTCGTTCGTCGTTGTCCATGACCTGGCCGACGACGGAACAGGCGGCCAAATCAACATCGAGCTCAGCACACCCGGTAAGCAACACTGCAGGCACGCCTGATAATTGGCTCTGGCAACTGGGTTCACACGCAAGGACAACAATATGCTTCCTCAACAGCTCAACAACGCGTTTCCCAGTTGCTGCCATCACTCAACTATGCTCGCTTCCTGCGTGCGTCTTGTCCTGTGCACAACTATTCGTTTTTTTTTTGTTTCATGTGTTTGTTGCAGATCTCATTGGCGAGGGTGTCACGCTGAGTGTTCGCGACGATCCCGGCACAACCGCCGACCGCACAACATGCGAGCAGTCCACGGTACGTACACACACACACGTTCACACACGTTCACACTCGTACACACGCATACAGAGGCAGCAGGCCTGGCCCATGTTTGATGCCGAAAGTACAACTCAATGTCTGACTCACACCAACACTCGCCTTTGGTCTTTCAACTCACACCTTGACTACGGTGCATACCTTTTGACAGAGCACGTCCGATTGCTACACTTTCGATGCGTACACCATGACCGGCTATTTCAACCAAATCTGGGTACGGTGTTGCGGTCCAATGCAATCACACTGCGGCAATGCGTGAGCAAATGATGTGTGACACCGCACATACAGTACGCCGCTGGGTTTTGTTGGTCAGTGCAACACACCCAAAACACAACACCTCACTGAACGTTGTCTCTTCGCCCGCTTGAAACTGAACAGGCACCATGCTGCACAGACGGCTTTGTCCTGAGCAAGCTCCCGCTCTTCAACTGGCGGTTCAACTTCAAGTATGACGTCGTTGACCACATCTACAACTTCCGTGTCGGCAACTTCAACCCGGACACGTTTGACATGTCCTTCCTGGACTTGGACGCCGCAGAGGTGCTGGCAAACGGCGTGGAGGTCTCCGCCTTCACCTGCAACGACTACTGCAGGGACAAGGTGCTTGATTGCCCTGCCATGCGCATGGAGGCATGCATGCATGCGTGATTTGTTGTTGTTGTTGTTGTTGTTGTTGTGGTGCGTGTGTGTGGTTTTGGTTGTGTGTCTGCTTGTGGATGTGTGCGTGTGTGTTTGTGTGTGTATGCTTATGCGTGCGTGCGTGCGTGCGTGTGTGTGTCTGCCTGTTGTCTGCTGCATATGTGTGTATGTGTTTGCCTAGACTTGTGCACATGTTTCTGCATGGTTCCACGTCCAGGCTTCCACCTGTGTGAGGCCATTGCTCCTTCTTTGCTCACCACACCAACTTGTGTGCACATGATGTTTTGGTTGCGACATGCACAGTCATGTGGAGAATGCTCCCTCGACCCCCAGTGCGGCTGGTGTGACACCTCCCGCTGCCTCGCCCGCTCAGAAGAGGTGTGCGCACGGCTTGCATGTTGTTGGATGTGTGTGTGTG